ATGTATGTTTGGGGGTTCCAAATGAATAAAATTAATATTTACTGCATCATCAGGGACATTATTTGGGAAAATTGGCATATTCTAAACATTTGGTGCCCATGCATGGTGCTGAAGAGGCTCCAATCTGCCCTGTGCCACCGGCGCAAATGTCAAACTCAACAGAACAGGCCTGTACTAATGACTATTATGCAGAAGTCATCTTCACCTCTTAGCCCCAGAAAAGTCTTCAAGGACTTCCCCCTCAGGGGTCCATGGAACACAGAGAACTGTGGCAACATGCCATTTCTACCAGTTTAGGAGTACACTGGGTATGTGCAAAGCAATAATACATATCTATGCTTCAGACATCAGAAGAGACTTTAAACATTTCCCTCCACAAGCGTTCTATAACTACCTGTTAATCTCCCCTCACATTCCCCAACTCACCAAAACAGCAAGCAGCCAAAAGTGAAATTTCTTAAAAACCAAATAAAAATATCCTCCCGAAAGGTCAGCTCTATGTTACTTTAAAAAGCCCAACTACGACTATTACAAAAGCATGGGTGCGCAACCACCGCAAATCTGTGCGCTCAACTTGTACTACTCTAAAATCTGCTTGGAGTAATCAACTCAAGCATGCCCACTTCCAGGTTGGGGTGCAGCCACATGATCAGGGCGCACTGCAGCCTCCACCACACAAGTTCAAACGATCCTTCCAATCCTTCCGCCTCCACCTGAGGAGCTGGGACACCACAGGTGTGAGCCACGGTGCCCAGCCCCCACCTAAAGGTTTTCAGTTCCAAAAACCTGAGACTAGTTTCTGAGTAATTAATCTCCAAGACACTTTAACATATGACATATGACCATAATTAAGTTTCTATTTTCATAACATCACACCTGCAGGAAAAGAGCTGACTTCTAAGCAGAAAGATAAAACAAAAATGCATATTTTACCTCGCCTGGTGGCAAACATTCTGTTTCTTCAAACCTCATATTCCCCTGAAACAATACTCAAAACAATTTTAACCCACCAGTCAGAAATTATAACGCTACAGTAAAACCTCACTATTCTAAACTTCATTATTTTGTTAACTCTCACAGGGTAGAGGCCAAAGTTTCCGTTTATTTCTACTTTGCCTATTAAGGGCCTCCTGGCTCATCAATCTGTTTATTATGCAGATGAGGAGGGAAAGAGAAGACACTAACTAAAAGTTCTTTAAACTATCACAAATGAAGGAAAGATTACCCAATAAAAGACTCTTGATAGCTCAGTTTTCATTAATGGAACAGTCACTAGGAGGATATACCTAAAAACTAGACATCCCCAAATGCGATGTGTTCTCCAGTCACCAGCAGCAGCCGTTCCTGTACCACGACGGCCCACTCAAAGCTTCACCAGCTTGCAGCAGGAAACTGTGCCGCACTCACCAAACCGGGAGAGACAGAGATCTGGGCCCACAAGGAAACGGAGAAGCCCAACTTTCATTTACTTCAGTATCTATGCAGACTCTGACTCAATTGCAGAGATTACATTTAAATCCTTCAGAAGGCAAATTCAAAGTTTTGCTGCTTACCAAGTAACACTGTCATTATAAAAATTATTCTGGGCCGGGTGCGGTGGCTCATGCCTGCACTTTGGGAGGCTGAGGCAGGTGGATCACCTGAGGTCAGGAGTTTGAGACCAGCCTGGCCAACATGATGAAACCCCCATCTCTACTAAAAACACAAAAATTAGCAGGGTGTGGTGGCGGGTGCCTGTAATCCCAGCTACTTGGGAGGCTGAGGTAGGAGAATCACTTAAACCGGGGAGGCGGGGGTTGCACTGAGCTGAGATTGTGCCACTGTACTCCAGCCTGGGCAACAAGAGCAAAACTCCCTCTCAAAAAAAAAAGCAGCAAGGGTGCCACAACACAGTATGTTTTTCACAAGGAAAATACAGAGAAAAATCCAGAAACAACCTATATTGTTGTTTTACATTTCTTGGGTATTTGTGTTTTTATAGATACACGGAGACAAAAAGCAAAACTTGTTACTGAAAAACCTGCTGAGGACTAACGCTTTGGTCAGCCCTGGGCTACAGCCAGGCTGCCAAGCTCCCAAGCTCCCCGGTGGGAGCTTGCAACAATTCTGCCATTTCCCTCTATCCACTTTCTCGTGCAAAACACAGGCTTGTGACCTTGGTGGGCAACTCAGGTGGGAAATTTCAGCTCTCCAAATGAATGCCAGGAACCAGAAACAGTCACATAAAATTATTTATCGAGGTTAAGGAGAAGTGAGGTTTATTGTTCTCTATTTAATGGCTGGACATAAAGTCTCCTAAACTACTATCTTTGATGGGCTCCTCTTGCCTCTCAGCAAAAAAGAAAATATGGTTTCAAACACTAAGATACAGCCCCAATTCTATATACCAGGATTCCGGCTGCCTAATAAAAGGTTACCGCCCGGGCCTTGGTGAGGACCACAAGGCACAGGTTCTTGTCCCCATGAAGAAATCCACCTCATGCCACATGTGTGGCAGTGTGAGCTCTCTGGAGACCATGCGGGACAGGGTGCGCTTTGGGAGGTCATCCCCGCAGGGTACTGCGTGGGCTGCTTCCCCTCAAGCACATCTGTTTAATACGGGTTTAAATCACTGTTCCTTTATGTCTTCCTTGGTCCACACCCGTAGAGACCTGCATAATTCCATGGCCCCAAGCACAGCCTACTCTTGCCTCCCACCCAACCCCTGATTTTCACTGCTGCAAGAGTTGCTGCTGAGGATTCAGCAAGCGGATGTGCAGGGCACTTTGAGGGAGAGGTGTGTACTGGAACAGCTTTACAGGTGACAGCGAATCAGACTGATTCCACACTTGCCCCAAGTGGCAAGCACGTGGTTGAACCACTAAAAACTGTTCAAAGACACAGCTTATCTTCCTAGAAGTCATCAATTTCCCCAAGTGTTTACAGCCAACTATTTTACAACTCCTAGAGAAGTGGTTCTCAAAAAGGGTGGTCCAGGGGTCCTTTTGGGAGGCCCACAGGATCAAAGCAGTCTGCACAACACTAACATTCCGTGCTGTTTCCACAGTCACTCTGAGTATATGCTAGAGCATTTCAGAAGCTGAACGAAGATGACACCAAGTTTGAATTCGGAAGGAGATGTGCAAATCCAGCAGCTGTCAGTTAAGCCAAAGAGATTTGTGAAAACAAAACAAAACCATCTTTCTCATTAAATTGTTTTGGTCATTGAAAACAGGTTCCACAAAATGTTACTTATGTTAATATATAATGGTTTACAATTTTACTTATTTATTTTGAGATGGTGTCTCGCTCTCACCCAGGTTGGAGTACAGTGGCACCATCTTGGCTCACTGCAACCTCCGCCTCCTAGGTTCAAAGGATTCTCCTGCCTCAGTCTCCAGAATAGCTGGGATTACCGGCGTGTGCCACCACACCCAGTTATTTTTTGTGTGTTTTTAGTAAAGAAAGGGTTTCACCATGTTGGCCATGCTGGTCTTGAACTCCCGACCTCAGGTGATCCGCCCACTTTGGCCTCCCAAAGTGCTAGTATTACAGGCACCAGCCACCGTGCCAGGCTGGTTCACAATTTTAAATAGAAGGCACTTAAGCATTTAAATGACTCATTTTTAAATGTCAAACATGGTGACTATCAACAGATATAACAAAAGCTCTTTGGAGTCTTCCACGCTTTTTAGGAGTGTAAAGCAGTCCTGGGTCCAGCCAGTCTGGGAACCACTGACACAGACCAGCGCCTTCCACTGCTGGAGCCAGAAAGGCTGCGCCCCGACTCACAAGAGCAACCCCGAGGTCCAGCCAGTCTGGGATCCACTGACACAGAGCAGCGCCTTCCACTGCTGGAGCCAGAAAGGCTGATCCCCGACTCACAAGAGCAACCCCGAGGCCATTCCGGTTCAGTCAGGATCCTGGTCGCAGTGACAGGTACTGCTTTCACATTCGGTTGTTCCAGACACCCCGTCTATTCTCATTCAGTTTCATGTGATTACTGACAAGGCCAAGTGAGATGATGTCCACCTAAGTTCAGGTGGAGAGAATGCGGTTTCTTCTTTAAAACCCCTTCTCTCACATGAATTTGCTTCTCAAATTGGAGCTGCAGCCAATTTTTTTGTTGTTGTTGAGATGGGGTCTCTGCCACCCAGGCTGGAGGGCAGTGGAGCGAATAATCAGGGCTCACTGCAGCCTCAATCTCCCTGGGCTCAGGTTATCCTTCTACCTCAGCCTCCCTGGTAGCTGCGACTACAAGCATGCACTACAGTGCCCGGCTATTTGTATATATATAAATTTATAAATTAATGTTGTACATCTATATATTACATACATAATATAAATTACATGTAAATATATAAAAATACATAAATTATAAGTAAGTTATACATATATGTATAAATTATATATATGAATATATATATATATATTCCCCCGCCTCAAGCAATAACAGGGTTTTGCCATGTTGCCCGGTCTGATCTCGAACTCCTGGGCTCAAGTGATCATCACGTCTCAGTCTTCCAAAGTGCGTCAGCCCTCACACCCAGCCTGGAATTCCAACTCATGAAGGTCACAGCATAAGGGGCAAAATTACTGCTTGGGGACCTTGTAAACTCAAAAGTCAAGAATTAACTTTGTATTTCAGCTGGAATCTTCCTTTCTTTCCCCGGGATTGAGAGGCCAATGTCTAGTTCTGTTTTAGGGGGAGGGGCACGGTCCCAGCTGAAGACAAAGAGGAGTTTTGACATAAAAGGGTTTTTTTTTCCTGTATCCGTTTTTACATGTACAGCTGGATTCGACAGAGTCAAACATGTATGACAAGCAACTTCCCGGGCCCCCAATCACTGCTGCATGGGTAGGAAGAAGTGCGCAGAAAGGTGTTTTACTACTCAAACATGTGAAAGGGAAAACATTATCTTTTAGTTACAGTCTAGCAAATCCAAAGAGGCCAGGCTAGTGTCTACCTGGCCTGTGTCTCCAGGGTCTTGGGAGTATCTCTGGGGCCCACTCCCCTTGGTGCAGGTTCCGCGTTCCCAGTCCTGACAGCTGCAGCCAGCAGTGCCCACCCCCACCCAGACATTTACAAACAGGACAAGTCCTCAGTTAAGCAGATGGGAGGTTGGGGGGCTCAAGGGGGAACCTGTCTATGAATGCAGGGTTAGACCCCAGCTGCAAATGGTAACAGCGGCAGTGGGGCAGCAGGGGGGAAGGGGCCCACAGTGTACCAGGCAGTGCATCTGTCTACAAATGCGGGGGATACAGGGTACCAGGCAGTGCATCTGTCTACAAATGCGGGGGCCACAGGGTACCAGGCAGTGCTTCTAAGGGCTGCACTCTCCTGTCTGTGCAATGGGGATGGTAATGACCTCACAGCTTCCTACAAGGTTTTCTGAAGCGACATGTCAGGTGCCAAATCATCTGTGGCAAGTGTGCAACAGATGGTAGGTGCCACCTGAGAAAGTGACACAGCCTGTGCTGGCGAGGGTTTGGAGAAATGCCCTCTTAGGTGAGTCTATTTGTCCGACATATTTGCCAACGGCCCCATATGGGCTTGGCACAGGGAAGAGAGCAGGAGACATACTGTTTTCATGGAGGGCAGGGAGTGCTTCACGGTGACCCAGAAGAAATAAGCAGGAAGTACACACAAACTTATGAGGTTTTTTTTCTCAGAAAGGTGACAAACTGAATACAAACTAACACACTACTTTGAAAAATCAAGAAACATCTATATAGTGAAATTCTTTTTTTTGGGGGGGGGTGAGGGGTAGACAGAGTCTTGCTTTGTCACCCAGGCTGGAGAGCAGTAGCACAATCACAGCTCACTACAGCCGGGAACTCCTGGCTTCAAGAGATCCTCTGGTCTCAGCCTCCCAAAGTGCTGGAACTACAAGAGCGCATCTGCACGCTTGGCCTAAGGGAATTCTTTTTTTTGAGACGGAGTCTCGCTCTGTCGCCCAGGCTGGAGTGCAGTGGCCGGATCTCAGCTCACTGCAAGCTCCGCCTCCCGGGTTCACACCATTCTTCTGCCTCAGCCTCCCGAGTAGCTGGGACTACAGGCGCCCGCCACAATGCCTGGCTAGTTTTTTGTATTTTTTTTTAGTACAGACGAGGTTTCACCATGTTAGCCAGGATGGTCTCGATCTCCTGACCTCGTGATCTGCCCGTCTCGGCCTCCCAAAGTGCTGGGATTACAGGCTTGAGCCACCGCGCCCGGCCGGGAATTCTTTTTTTTTTTTTTTTTTTTTTTTTTGAGACAGTCTCACTGTCACCCAGGCTGGAGTGCAGTGGTGCGGTCTTGGCTTACTGCAACCTGGACCTCCCAGGTTCAAGCGATTCTTCCACCTCGGCCTCTCAAGTAGCTGGGATTACAGGCAGGTGCCACCAAACCCAGCTAATTTTTGTATTTTTAATTAGAGACAGGGTTTCACCATGTTGGCCAGGCTGGTCTCGAACTTCTGACAAGTGTCTTGGCCTCCCAAAGTGCTGGGACACCAGGCATGAGCCACCATGCCCGGCCGGGAATTCTTTAAGGGTGATGAATCATCACATGCACAGCGGTGAGAAAAACTCCCTGGCACGTGATTGAGAGCCGGGGACAAGCTGGCCAGGGCAGTGGCCACAGCCTCCAACACATCCCGTTCACCAGTGCAAAACAGCTGTAATGTGGAGCTTTTCAGGACAGTGCCCTTTCTGGTGTTTTTACTATTTTTACATAATGTTTAAGTTTCCCGTATGTGTATTATTTTTGTAACCAAACACATTAAGGTATCTTCATTTCGGAAAAAAAGCTGATCTTATTAAAAAGGTATATTAAATACCACTTAAATGTCTCTATCAGTATATGCAAAACAAAACCACGGCATCAAAATTTGATACCCATGGAGAGAAATGCCTCCTTTACAATTTAACACACGATTATTACCACCTATTAAGTTTTATGGTCATGGTTACAGAATTCTTATCAAAATATGTACAATTACCTATTCACATAACAACTTACCCTCAAAATTACTACTCAAAAAATAAAATGAGGCCTACACAACACAGACTGTCTCACAGATGAGTGTCTACACATACAGGAAATAAGCAAATCAGACTTTGTTCTTTGACCTCCTCTTTCCCAATTAGTACATTTCCATTAACTGTTTATCATAGAACCTTTGTAATGCAGTTAACGTACATCATTTGATAGTAGCCATAAAGAGGCTGATCTTAGTATCCACCACTGTAAGGGACCCCATCATTTAAACAAGAAAGGTAAGTGAGAGACTCTGTTTACAGAGAATTTCCTAGTGGTCTTCTAAGCCTGCCAGACAGAGATGAGACCTCTCAGGCAAGTGGAGAGTGCAGGGACCACGGATAGTAGGGAGTTAAACACATTCAATCTTTGCTCTTCAAGAGCCAAACAAGCCACTTGGTATCATGGGACAGGTATACAAAAAGGAAAAATGTGCCTTGTTTACAGAGATTCCAAACAATGAAGACGTGGCACAGCTTAAAAATAAACACCAAAAAGAAGCACCCCACTGGGCTCCACAGAACTGACCTTAAGAAATTATGACCCTAAGGCTGTAAAAAAACTCACAGTATCAACAGCAGAACCTGCCAACTTCACCGCGAAACAAAACGGGAGCCAATGCCCATTCCAATCATTCCCTCCTCACATGAAGAAACTCCACCATCCTTCAAGGCCCAACTGATGATACACACATCCTAGACAAGCCATTGTGATGCTCACACATACACATGCAACATGGGCTGGGCTGTCTGGTAACCATGGGTACAGCTGGGCAGTCAATCACAAATTATCTTATTTGTGCCCTGTCTTCTCATCACAGCACAATTTGCTCTGTTTGACATAGTCTGAATTCAACCACCTACTAATAAGGGTCAGCCTCTGGTGGAAAGCCTGAAGAAAATTCAAGATATACGCTTTTCCAAAACAAGATAAGAAGTGTTGTACTCATGAAACTTGTTGAAACAAGTCTACAAGAACAGACACCTCCTCCCCATGTACACAGCAAGTAGGAAACCAAGTGTGCATTAGGCAGGGAGTTTCACAACAGGGCTGTGTCTGTCTTCCTGGGTGACACTTCTGAGATGTCTATGCTGTATTTAAAATAGAAAAATAGTGGAATAGTCACAGACACACATACAGACACAAACAGTAACCCAAAGGGCCACTAACGAGCCCTAGGCTCCAGGGTAAATGGGTTGGCAACACCTGATTTAAAGGAAGGAGGTGGAATAATCTCTCAAGTTCCCCACTGAACTTGTCTCCCGGAGGACTGGGACAGGGGCCACCTTGGTCACTGCTGTATCCCTCGTGCTAACACAGTATGCAATGAATGTCCATTAATAAAACGACTGTATTTACTCCTTAAAACGCACTGCTAAGGACCTTTTCACTGCTGAGAACTGTATTTCAACCAAGTCATACGTGGCCCTTGGGAAACCATGCAAAACGAGGTATAGCTAGGCTATGTGAATATACCGAAAAGGCGTTCCCATCTGCCTTTCCCTTCTCTTAAGTCCCTGAGTACACTAGGCTCAAATCTCATTCCATCAGCAGGCAGATGACATGGGTATCGATGGCCCAGGCACAAGTTAAAGAGTATTTTCAATAACTGGTAACTCTGTAAGCTACTACTACCTATGGCCCAAACTCTAAACTTAAATATTAAGGTGCTTTATTCACAGCAGAAAAGCCGGCCCTGACCTCCACTGTCTCAGAACCGCGAGGAGCCCCGGACGCCGCAGCGGAGGCAGCACGGGCACCCCACCCGCCGAGCGCAGGAACTGGCCTTTTCGGCTTCCAGGGTCACTGGAAGGCAAAATGTGTCACAGATACGGCCAGTACACACCAACGCAACAAACGATTCCACAAAAAAAACTGAAAACCAGCGCGGGGAGGTAAGGACACATTCTTTAGGAAGCGAAACCCCGCTCTTCGCGCTTCCCGCAGCGCCAGCCGCCCCGCAGTGCCGGAATCCCCCGAAGGCACGCCAGAAGCTAAGCCGGCCACGGGGTGGCCGCACCCAAGGCCCGGGAGGAAGCGCCAAGGCTCCCGGGGATGCTTAGGGAAATCAGCTGCGCAGCCCCCCGAGCCCAGGGCCGCACTCGCCCAGGCCAGTCTTGCGCTCCTCCCCGCGAGCAGCCTCCCCGACTTCCACCCTCGAAACCGTTCCTGCCGCGACCACAGAGCGCTCGCCAGTCGCCTCAACCTCACGCAGCCCACCAGGGCCGGCGTCTGAGGCCCGCGCCCCCTGCCCGGGGCTGGCCTCACCGGCCCCGCCCGCTCGCTCGCTCCCTTCCGCGGCCGCCATCTTCTCGGCGGGAGCGGCCTGTGAGGGATCCGCGGCTCTCACCGGCCGGGCTCCGATGCCGGCCCCGCCCCGCTCCCAAGGGCGGCCCAAGAGGCAGCCGGCTCCTCTACCCGGCGCCCGGGACGCCACTTACCGCAGGCCGCAGGCCTGTAGGGTCTCGCAGCCATTTCCCCGAACACCGCGGAGTGGGCGGCCGGCCACCGAGACGGCGCGGGGCTAGAGCGGCGCCCCCGCGCGGCAGGCGGAGGACGAGGCCAGCCACCGAGACGCTGCGGGGCTAGAGCGGCGCCCCAGGCTGGGAAGCCTAACCCCGTACTGCGCGCATGCGCCCGCCTTCCCTACCTGCACTTCGGGTGCGTCCTTTGGGTCTGCACTGACGATGACTTGGTTGCATCCTTTGTGGATGCCTTATTTCCCCGACCCCAAGGGTGAAAGCTGGAGCGCTGCCCTTGCGGGGATCCCTCGGAACAGCTCGGGCAGGGCAAAGGCGGAACGTGGATGCTAGCCCTGAGGGACTGCACTCCGCCAGATTTCGCTCTTAAGACCGACAAACCCTTCAAGTCGGTGGGGATAGGAAGCTCCTGGGCTAAATTTGTAAGAGGTGTGGGGGGCGGGGACAGAGGATAATGGAAGAAAAGGCCCAAGTTTTCTCTTTCAGATTGTATTTCTCAAATCGCAAGCCCCTGACGGCCTCCGCTGGGAGTGGCAGGGAGCGGCGGGGTCCAGGCGTGGGCGGGGTTTCTCTCCAACTTGAAGACCCTACCCAGCTGCCTCCCCACCCCAAGCTCGGCGCCAGAAACCAAGAGCGTGGGGTGGGGGGAGCCGAAGGAGCACAGCGAGGAAAGGAGGCGGGCACGCTGGACCTCTAGGCCCCAGGGACCTTGGCGGTGTCCCACCATGTCAATCCTACACTCAGAACTACTGACCAGTAGCTAGAACTCAAAAAGAATGCATGGATATGTTTGCCCACAGGGGTTGGAGGGAACGATTAGACATTTACAATCAGGAGAGGGGAAAGTGAGGTATGGTAGATGTTAACCTTCCATGTGGATTTTCTTCAATTCGCTCAATAGTAACTAGTGTGACACCCCATCACCTGTCTGTCCCCAGATACTGCAGGAAAGAGACTGGGAGGGGGCAGGAGGGGCAGCTGCTGCCTTGAGGCACCATGGGCACTGGCCACTTGCTCCGAGGGCAGGGACTTGTAGGGGGAGGTGGCCCCATTGCTTTCGCTTCTGTGAACCACTAGTGATACGCTACCTGGAAGCGTGCACCATCTAGCCTTTGGCGTCGGCCCTGGTCAAGAGCAAAAGGGGCCCAGAGTGCCGTAAAGCTGCCCCTAATACAGAGAGGCTTCTGCGATGCTTCCGTGGATGAACCAGGGGGCTTTGAGGCAGGTGTGCTTTTTTAAATACTACCTCTGAAGATTACAGGGTCTGCCAGTTTCTGAGACGGACTTAGTTTTCTTCAAAGGAATACAACGCAGCTTGTTTCTGCTGGTGTGGCCCATTAGGACCACATTAATGGAATCTGGCAGGGATGGCCTTGACAGTCTTCCATCTTGAGTGTGTCTTCAGGTTGCAAAGAGGGGTTTTTGCCCTCAGACACGGGGTAGTGGGAAGCTTAGACGGGGTTGAGACCACCTTTAACAAGCACTGTGGTCTTGGGCGAGCTCTCTGTTAAAGGAGGGCTCACATGCTGAGGTCCAGGTGAAGACCACATGAGGCCTCCCTACAAGAGGCTCTCTCTGAATCCAACTGGTATGGGGGAACCTCAGCCCACTCTCTTTTGCTGAGGATCTTTAAACCAGCCTCAATTTCTTTCTGCAAGACGGTGAGATTTTAAGAGATTTTAACTCTTGGGTGCAGTTTCAGGTTGGGCACTCAGGGGAGATAGATGGAAAGGCACTAAGGGAATAGAAAGAGTGGACAAGGCGGCTCAGGGACAAGAGAACCAAGAGAAAGAAAAAGGCAGGAAAACATGAGTAAACGGAACGCTCACCGCAGTGCTCAGCGATACGCAGAATGCCTGCCTTCCTGCAAGTCCAGAGGATACTGGAACCTGCCTCTCGTTCTCATCTCCCCCGCCACCCAGAAGCTGGCTCAGCTGTGGAGGCCTGGCCAGACTATCCACTCTGGCCTTGCCCACCTACAAGGTGATGAAGTCAGCCTATCCCAGCTTACCTGCCATCACTACTCCTGGGAGCTGCCCTCCCTGGTGAGAAAGGCATTTGGAGAATCTACAGTCTGGGTATTTGAATTTGAACTCCACTAGCAAAATAATGCTTTTTCCTAACCGAATTTATGTAAAAAGTAAAACCCAAAGGAGGAAACAAAGTCTTCAGTTGTTTCGATAAATTGTTCCTTAAATATTCCCAATCCACAAACAAAACCCCACAAGTAGCACCGATTTACAACAGGATGTGGCCCCGAAAGCAGGAAGGGAGCCAAGAGCGCTCCAGCAGGAAGTTTAATAGGTGGTCCATGGAAAAAAAAACACGATGGGTGCATCACAAATAGGTGTGAACAGTACACTTTTGTAACGTGTAGACACCAGTTTCTGCAACACACACGCCACGCAAAGTTTAAGGAAAGTTTTTGAAAGTACAATCCGGAAAACTCAGCAATTCTTTAAAAAAAAAAAAAAAATTGCTTTCCGCGGTTATAAGCCTCCTCCATTGGGACTCGGGGTCCGCAGCAGAATACCCTGATCCCAAAATAAAAACACTATGACAAAAATACTGCAGCAGGCAGCCGGCTTTACTTGGTTTAAAGTCGGATTTCGCTTAGTGCGGTGAAAGCGAAGGAGCGCCAGCGCTTCCCGGCTCCGCACAGTTCTCTCGGCGGAGAGTTCCCGCCCTCTCCAAGAACCGGAAGCCGGACAGCGTCAGGACGTTTCATTCTTCTCACTTGGGAGTCAGAGCCGCTAAGCACAGGGCCCCCGCCGAGGCCACCGGGCAGCGTCCAGGTCTCCCCTTTTTGAGGGGAGCAGCGGCGGAGGGGCACGGGGAGGGGCGACGGCGCGGCGCGCTGGGGCCTCGGCGCTGAGCTCCTCCTCTGCTCGCTCTGGAGGACGCCCGCAGGATTCTCGCAGACTTCCGCCGAGGCAGGATGGAGGCCTGCAGTGATGCATCCTGGGCCCGCGACCCGGCGGCCGGAACATAGTTCTTTCTGGCCGGAGACCGACCCGGGCCTGAGTCGTGTCTGCGCCAGGCGCCCCACGCCGTGCTCCAGGGACTCAGTGCCCGGCGCGCTGGGGCCGTATCGCTAGCCACTTGGGGCAGGAAAAAGGAATCACAAAATACAACCCTCTCCTTTACCCAGGAGGAGAACGTGGATTCCCGGTGGCGGGGAATATATGTGTGTGTGTGTGTGTGTATGTATATATATATGCATATATGTATGTGTGTGTCTATATATACATATAAATATGCCTACTGTTTTCTTATTGCTAACAACTTCAGCCACTGTGTGCTGTGTGTGTTGTTGTTGTTTTGGAGAAACTGAATTTTCATTACTTTTACATTATATAAGGCCAGCTAACTTTAACAGTTAACTTTAGATAAATCAAGTCACCAATGCTAAAAGGTGTCACAATCAGATCGGCCACTACTTCCCCTCAAAGCAAACAGTAAAGCACTGCCTTTGGCTCCTTTAAAGAATATTAGCCAGATTTGCCGGGCGCAGTGGCTTACGCCTGTAATCTCAGCACTTTGTGAGGCCGAGGCGGGCGGATCACCTGAGCTCCTGAGGTCAGGAGTTCAAGACCAGCCTGACCAACATGGTGAAACCCCATCTCTACTAAAAATAGAAAAATTAGCCGCGCGTGGTGGCGGCGCCTGTAATCCCAGCTACTGGGGAGGATAAGGCAGGAGAATTTCTTGAACCCACTGCACTCCAGCCTGGGAGACTCTGTCTCAAAACAAAACAAAAACAAACAAAAAAACAAAACAAAAAAACCCAGATCTTTGTCTACCAAAGGGCAAATGCCACGTTTGTGCATCACTGAGCAACAGCACTGCCAGAAAAGGCAACTTCACAGAATTCACCCACTCAGTGAATTCCGCTGAATGCTGTTTTGAGACAACCAACACAGAGGGGGAGTATGGAGGACAGTGGGTGGTAAGTTAAGGGGAACTGACAGGATGGAAAAGGGCCAGGAAACAAAAGAATTCAAGGAAAAACAGAAACAGAAGTTACACTTCGTGTTCCAACCCCGAAGACCTCTAGAAAGCCGTGGGATGTGATGGAGCTACATGTTCTATGCAGCATATGAGAATCATACCAATTTTCTGTCTTTTAGGCAAAAGAATAAATGTGAAATACGAAAAAGGGAGGGAAATGAGATGGGAGGAGGGCATCACCCCCCTTAAATGCTGTACCAAATTACTATACATACTGCATTTTTGTAATTAGCATTACGGACAGTGTCTTATCATTTGAATGTTACTAGAAACCTGTGCTATGACTTTTAACTAGAAAAACAAGGGATGAATCTTTCTTTGATCACATTAGCCTCTGTACGTTACTCAAGGCAGCTGCAATGAACTTATAACAATATCCACAAACAAGGCAAAAGGAACTTCTCATGGTAGGGAACTGAATCTGGATGTGTTACTCTCTCTTTTGTCATTTTCCAGATATCTTTAGAAAGAATGAGCTGCAGTTTGTGGTGTTGCTTTCCTTGAGACAAGGTCTCACTCTGTCGCCAGGCTGGAGTGCAGCAGTGTGATATTGGCTGTCTGCAACCTCCGCCTCCCAGGCTCAAGCAACCCTTCTGCCTCAGCCTCCTGAGTAGCTGGGACTACAGGCGCAGCACGCCTGTAACCGCACCTGGCTAATTTTTGTATTTTTTGTAGAGATGGGGTTTCACTATGTTGCCCAGGCTGGTCTTGGACTCCCGGGATCCACCCGCCTCTGCCTCCCAAAGTGCTGGGATTACAGCCATGAGCCACAACGCCTGGCCCGAGCTGCAGTAGTTCTATATCTTCTGCTAAGGAGAGAACACATTAATGCAGAACCATGCTCATTACTCCTTCCTCTGAGAATGTTTCATGTTTCTCTTAGTTGTCTAAGTTTTCCCTATGAGGTCAGTGAAAAGTAAATAAAGACAACTTTGGAATAAATTAATATTTTAGTAAGTATAAGGCAAAAAACTATTTATTTTTGAGTGGTTTTATCTCAACCGTCTTTAAAGGAACACAGCAAACAAGAAAGCCGAAAAAACGCTTTCACAGATTCTGACAGAGTAAGAGTAAAGTGGTTGTACCCAAATAGGATATTTGCCCTTACAGGCTATTCACACCACGGAATATAGACCACGGAGAAAGGGGAAACGAACCCATGGATGGCTGAATACCTGCACCTGCTGGTGAGCACCAGGAAGAAGGTGCAGGGATGTCCATGAGGTCAGAGGCAGCCATCAGTTCCAGACGCAATGGGCCTTGGCCCCATTCCTGTGCCTTCTGCCTAACCTCAATGCCTCCAGAGTATGGGACCTCACGGGGAGGGATAGGGCTACAATTGTGCAGACTACAATTACAGACTTTTTTCTTAAATGAAAACACTTTAAGAAGTGAAAGAGACTTCAGTAACCTTCCAGAATTTGTCCAGATAGGATTAACTGTATAAATTAATTCCTGTTCTTGCTTAGTTCACAAAAACAAAATGGTAAAACTGAGAGTGTGTTTGGAGAAAATACCAACAATAACAACAAAGGCTGAGCTATCAGTAGTTTCCAAAAGATACCCAAACGGGAACTTGAGATTTTTTCCCTTCTTTTAAGAAACAGCAGGGAGGTCTTGCTTTGTTGACCTGGCTAGTCTCAGACTCCTGGCCTCGAGGAATCCTCCTGTCTCAGCCTCCCCAAAGTGCTGGGATTATAGGTGTGAGCCACCCTGCCTCTTTCATTCCAATAGGAAAGTATTTAAAGAGTAAATGTAGAGCCAGGCACGGTGGCCCACGCCTGTAATCTCAACACTTTGGGAGGCCCAGGAGGGAGGATAACTGGAGCCCAGGAGTTGAAGGCCAGCCTGGGAAACACAGGAACTCTATGTCTACTTCTACCTGCCCATCAGACATGTGATCACAACAGCTGCATGCATACAAAGAACTTAAGACACAGAAAGAACTATCCACATGTATGTGTGTATATTTATATATATATTTTGTTAATTTTCATAAAAAAAATCCCAAACCAATAACTGTCTATCAAATCCTAACCAGTCAGGTTCAAAGTGCATAATCAAACTCAAATGAAATAGTACATTACATGATGCTTTGACCATGTACATTGCTACTCAAAACACTCTTTGGCCTTTCCCACTGGTCTGCAATGGCAGGACTGTATCACCTTCCCTCCCGCCATGTGTGTTTCAGGTAACAGTATGCTAGATAGCTTATGTCTCAACCTCAGCAGCAGTTAAAGGTTTAAAAAAAAAAAAAAAAAAAAAAGATTATTCTTGCTCTCACCCAAACAAACTTATAAAATATTCAGTGCTTTCTGACTGAGTGGTATAATCTAGAAAGGTAAAATCAGGCAAATAGAGGGAGGGGGAAGGGCACCTATATCAAACAATCGCCAGTTAAAGATGCTCTACAGGGTCTGGGTTCACCAAACACATAGTGTCAGAATATGTGCAGCAGGGCAGGGGTGGTGGCTCATGCCTCTTATCCCAGCACTTTGGGAGGCCGAGGCAGGCGGATCACCTGAGGTCTGGAGTTCGAGACCAGCCTGACCACCATGAAGAAACCCTATCTCTACTAAAAATACAAAATCAGCCGGGCGTGGTGGCGCACGTCTGTAATCCCAGCTACTCAGGAGGCTGAGGCAGG